GCCCTCAGGGTAGAGATTGACAGAGCAGGGTTGACTTGGAGAGGCAGTCAGGGTGTCCGTGGAAGAGGGGTGATGACATCCATCACTAGCTGAAAGGGTATCCAAAGCCAGACAGCTCAGTGCCAACCTTGATTCATCTCCCTCTCTCTCTCCCACATCCTATATCTGTCTGGAGGGAAGAGTTCCAGATTGGGCAGCCTGACAGTAGGCTCTGGATATCACCCATGAGTCCTGGGGAGAGTAATTCAGCACCTTGGACAGCGGTGGCGCGGTCCATCTGGCTCTTCTGTGTCAGGCGCGGCTCCTATGGGGTCAAGAATGCCAATACCAGACACCTCACCCTCACTGATTTCCTCTACCAGCTTCAGAGCACCTTGGAAAGTCAGTTCCCCTCTGATTGTCCCCATTTCCCTATCTGCACATTGGTGATGCCATTCTTGGTCTCAAAGGGCCCTTCTGACCCATTGAATTTGTTTTGGAAGAGTGATTGCAATTTCATACATCTCAAGAGAGCTAAGAGCTGATCTCTTGGGATCTCAATGCCTTGGGGAATTTAGAGACGGTGGTTCCCCACTGAGGGGTTGAGATGTTAGGACTGGAAGAGACCGAATGTTAAAAAAAGTTCATGTTTGATATCTCGACTAAAAAGAGAAGATAAATCACAACTTCTGAGAACCTCCTATGGGTTGACTACTCTGCTATGCTGGGAGGTTTCAAGGGGATTTAAAGCACAGTACTTGCTGCCAACCCTCTGGGTGAGGCCTTGGACAAATCTCTTGCCACCTATGGACCTTGGCCTGCTCATCTGTGAAGAAAGGTGGCTGAACCCCAAGCCCCTCTATACTGAGCATTTTGTTATTTTCACCTCTCTCTGAGGTTGCATAATGGAGGGCTTCTAGCAGGGGGGCTTGCTGGGTCAGCTGATGCCTTTACAACTGACATCCATTTGCAGGCCCAGAGAGGTGAAGCCATTTGTCAAAAGTCACACAGCTTTAAAAAATAAAAAAAAAAAAAGGCTGCTCAGCTTGTTATTGGCAGAGCCTAGATTTGAACCTTTGACAATTAGACTTCAAGTACAGTTCACCCCCGCCCCATAAGCCTGTCCCCAAAGGAGGAGAGGCTGAGCGAAGAGCATCTCAAAGGTACAGCAAAAATGTCCATTTTCTCCTGGAAAATGGGGGAGGAGCCTGGGCCTCCAGTGCAGGGATCACACCATCCTCCTCCTGAGTAGTTTCTTCATTTGTCAGCTCATGACTCGTTCTGGGCCCGGCCAGCTGCTGGGGGCTGCAGGCTCCAGGATGGAGCAGACTCAGTCCTGGCCAACACTGAGCCCAGGTTAGTGGCAGAGACCTTGACAACAGAAAGTGACAATCACGGGGAGAGAACAGCGTGCAGCATGGTGTGTGGGTGCAGAGGTCCATGGAATGCCTTACGGAGGAGGGAGCATTCGGGTGAGGGACCGGGGTCTCAACAGCCAGAGGACAGCAGGGAAGAGCTCATGGCCCAGGGACCAGAATGTGCAAAACCATGGAACAGAGTCAGGGGACAAAGACGCAGGCCAGGGAGCAGTCAGAGGTCGGAAATGGCTCCTGTGGGCTGAGTCCAGCCTGAGAGATGCTGCTTGGTCCACAGGTGTTTTAAATGTTTTAAAAGCCTGTGTGTGTGCCTGCTAAGTCGCTTCAGTTGTGTTCAACTCTTTGTGACGCTATGGACTGCAGCCCACCAGGTTCCTCTGTCCATGGGATTCTCCAGGCAAGAACACTGGAGTGGGTTGCCATGCCCTCCTCCAGGGCATCTTCCCAACCCAGGGGTTGAATCTGTGACTCCTGTTGCAGGCAGATTCTTTACCGCTGAGCCAGCAGGAAGCCCTTGAAAAGCCCTTTAAAATCACTTAGAAGCCAGGAGATTTGATTTCAAAATCCAGATTGTCAGTTTCTCTGAGCGTTTTGGAAGATCGGAGCCCACATTCCCTGGGGCAACAGTTGGCCAGAGCTAAGGAAAGACTGCTTCTGACCGCTTTACCCAGTTAGGTCATTGGCTTGGACCCAGTAGACATTTTAAGGTGGGATTCCCTGATCTGTAGCATAATGATTTTTCTCCCCCCCTGGCTGGTGACTGGCCCCAATGTGAAGGGACCCAGAGAAGGGAAGTGAGTGGGGATTCGTGGTAGGCCAGTGGGGTACATGGTGAGGACAGGGCTCCTCCCACTGTAAATGACTCTGGGTCCCAAGCCTTTCCTGGGATCCAGGGAACAGGAAGCTTAATTTTGTTTTGGCCTTGCCGCGTGGCTTGCAGCCCTGGGCAGTGAGAGTGCAGAGCTCTAACCACTGCACAGCCAGAGAATCCCCTGTATTTGATTTTTTAAAAAATATTTATTTATTTCCTTTTGGCTGCATCAGGTCTTAGTTGCAGCAGGTGGGCTCTTTCAGTTGCGGCATTCGGGTTTCTCTCCAGCTGTGGCTTGGGCTCCAGGCTGCACAAGCTCTGTCGTTTACTTGCTCAGCTTAGTGTCTGACTCTTTGAGACCCCATGGACTGTAGCCTGCCAGGCTTATCTGTCCATGGGATTCTCCAGGCAAGAATACTGGAGTTGGTTTCTCCAGTGCCCTCCTCCTGGGAATCTTCCCAATGCAGGGATCGAACCCCGGTCTCCTGCTTGCAGCAAGCAGGCTTAGTTGTCCTGCAGCACGTGGGATCTCAGTTCCTCAGCGAAGGATCGAACCCACGTCCTCTGCACTGGAAGGCAAGTTCTTCAGACCACCAAGGAAGTCCTAGGAAGCCTGATTTTGACTCAGAGAAGGATAAGGATGATGGTCCCTCCTTTCCCTTTAAAACACATGATCTGTTCCATCAAACTCTCCAAGGTTCTGCTAGTTGGCAACAGTAAGAGCAATGACAATCATTTCTAAATACTATTTAGAAAGACAATCAAACCTTTCTGTGCACCAAATATTTGCTTTTCGATTAAAAGAAAATCCTATCTATATCTTGGCAGCAAGCACTTTCAAAGAATGCAACTGTTTCAGTGACTGGGGCCAAAACAAATGTTTTTCCTAAGGCCAAACGATTCCAGAATGTTTGCCAAATGTTTGCCAAATGTTTCCCACCCCTTTTGAAAAATCTAGTAAAATTAGCAAAGCACCAACATTAAAGAATATTAAAAACGGAAGAAAAGCCAAAGGGGTAAAAAATGACGTGTGCACACTCCCCAGCATTGGCACATTCTTCCTCTTCTTTGCCTGTTCCCTTCCTGCCTTTGTTATGAGGAAGAATCTCCCAATAGTCCGAGCTGCTTTGGGGATGGAGGAAGAATAATGAGTTGCTTGTCCTTGGAGGTATGCAAGCAAGAATTCTTGACTTCAGCGGGAATTTCCACCTCAAGGGGCTTGCTCTAAGGGATGTCTGACCCTAAAGGATGAGCAGTTATCTGAGCAGAACACATTCTTAAAAAAAAACAAATGCTGAAGTTTGGAATCAAGAAGAAATTAATTCAACTCAGCAGCACTGTAGCTGTGAATCCTAAGGCAGCTGCTTTTGCTGGCTGAGCCTCAGTTTCCTCATCTGTAAAATGGGCTCAGGCTTCTGAGGACAGAACCTAGCATGGTGTGTGGACTGTAAGTGCTCTGCCGCTGTTAGTTTTCTTCCTTGCCCTTCACACCCATCCCACTCACCATTCCAGGCAGTCTCTCCTCCCCATGTTCCCCCTTCATTTTCATCTTTCTGGCTCCAAGGAGTCACCATGGAATGTTCTCCAGGGGTTGAGCCATCTCTCTCCTGGGCTAATGGTCTCATAGTGACAGGGCTGGTGGAGCACCATTCAGGGTGCGTGTTCTTAAGAGAGGGAGACCCCTGAGGCTAGAGAGAGGATGTCTGGAGGGCTTCCTGTAGAAGGAGAGATTTGAGCTGGGCTTTGAGAGTTCAGTTTGATAGTAGGTACAAGAACATTTTAAGCAGGTCCCAACTTGGAGATGGAAATGGTCTGGCGTGTTAGGAAGACATGAAGGCGGTGCTTGGGTGAAGACAGGGGAGCGAGCTTCCTAGAATCAAGAAAAACAGAAGAGTGAGCATGCATGTTGGATCAGATGAGCCTCCCAGCCCCTCTGCTTGCCCAGGCCATCAAGAGCAGAGGGCTGTCATGGGAGGTCATAGAGTCTGCTGCCTGCGTCCCACGGAGCTGCTCAGGGCTGGCTTTGGGATGTCCACATGCTAGCTCGCTGACCTGGGGTAAAGTAAGGTCAGGGCTCTGGAGTCATCTACACTATTCTCCTTCTAACCCTCTTATAGTGCCTTGAGCACATTGGGAGCACACAGTGGACCCCAGGGAAGCCTGATGGGGTTGGTGGGGTGGTGGGAGGCAGGGGAAATCTTTGGGTGGGTGAAGGGTGGAGAGAGGGTGGGTGGATGGCTTGAGTGGGGTGGGTGAAGCGAGGGCAGGTGGGTGTTCAGGGTTGTGGGCAATTGTTGGATGAGAGTGTGAGTTAAGGGCTGGAGACTTGACATGTGGGTGCAGATGTGTTGGCAGCTTGGGAAGCAGACAAGTAGGTGGGTGAGGTGAAAAGTGGCTGGGTGGGTGGATGGGTGGGTGTTTTGGGTAATGGGTAGATGTGTGTGTGGAGAGCAGGGCTGGCGGGAGTGTTCTGGGCTGCTGCGAGGATGGATGGGATGTTGGCAGGTGTGTGATGTGTTGACAGGTGGGAGATGCTTGACTGTGTTTTAAGGCTCGGGGAGAGTCATGGTGGGGATAGTGTATGAGTGGAATGGTGGGTATATTGGTGGGTTGGGGAGTGGATGGCAGCGGGTGTTGGTGGGCAGAGAGTGGGTGATGGGGGTGTGGCAGAGACGGAGAGCTGGGTAAGTGGATGGTGAGATGCTGAATGGAGCAGTGAGTGGGTGGAGAATTGAGTGTGGGTGGACAGATGGGTGGATGGGGGTGGGAGGGGGCGGTGGGGCATGGGTGGAGGAAGGCAGCCGTCAGCACTGACCACCCTGTCCCCTTGGCAGGACACCAGCCACACGTGGGAGATTCCTGGCCCCGGACTTCTGCACATGAGGCACCAGAGCTGAACCGCCAGTGCTGGGTCCTGGGGCACTGGGTGTGACCGTGAAGAGCCTGGTTCCAGACCTCGGGCCATCATCATCAGCACCAGCCCCCTGCCGCAGGATCTGGCACCTTTGGAACCTGGCCTGTGTGCTGTGAACTCAGCCAGCCTGCGTGGGAGACACGTGGGCTGCCCTGCCTACGGCTGCCTGGGTCTCAGCGTCCTGGAATTGGGGCCAGGGCATCTGAGGGACTGCACAGGACTGCACAGTTCGACCTGGGGACAGCCACTCCTGACTCCTGCCACCGTCATGCTCAGAGCCCTGCTGGGCGCAGCTGGGATGCTGAGAAGGACACGACCTTGGCCGCTAAAAGGCTGGGACCCACGAGCCGGCCAGGAGGTCCCCTGCGGGGGACAGGGAATGAGCGGGGCTTCCTGAAAGAGGGGCCATGGCCTTGGCCCCGCAGGGGGAGAGGGTCGCACTGCAGGCACACAGCAGGGACTCAATAAATGCTTGTTGGATCTGTTTCCTTGCTGTGTGTGGAGGCCAGTTGCTCTCTGGGCTGTGGCTGCCCCTTCGTGGCTGCCCCCTATCAGGTGTCTAAGGAGCCTGAAGGTGAGGCAGCCCTGAGTGTGCTGGTCAGGGTTAGATGCTGAAGTGTGGGTGGGTGGGAGGAAAGGGGGGTGGTCCTGTAGCTGAGGCTGGGTCCGGGGGGTGGGGTCAGGATGGAGCCAGGCTGGCAGGCTCTCTTGGATTTCAGAGGGTAGGGAGGTGGGGGCCAGGCAGGTAGGACACTGGAGGGGGCAATAGACAGGCCCTCAAACCCTCAGCCACCCTTACCCCCATGGGGACCCTTTACCCTGTGTCTAGAGTCACATTTATATCAAACCTTAGGGCTTAGATGCCTAGAGAAACAGATTCCTATTATGAAGATGAGGGAACTTAGGGTCACAGACATGAAGCATCTTGCCCAAGATTACAGAGCTAGCAAAAGCAGAGTTAAGGGTTTGAATTAGGACTCCTGACTCTAAGAGGCCTTGTCCCTTCCCAAAGGATTTCTAGAGATTTCCCTCAAGGAGAGTATGTTGTTCATTTTTCCATAAACACATCATCCAACCAACCATTCATCGATCCATTCATCTACCCATCCATTCATCCATCCATCCATCATTCACCCATCTATCCATTCATCCATCCATCCATCCATAACCCATCCCTCCATCCATTCATCCATCCATCTATCCATCTGTCCATCCATTATCCACCCGTCAGTGGTCATTCTTTCTTTTACCAGACATCCATCCATCCATCCTTTCACATATCACCCATCCTCATTATTCAGCCATCCATCTGTGTATCCATCTACTCAATGATACAATGCCTTGTGCTCCTACTACGTGCCAAACACTGTGGCAGGCACTTGAGATAGGATGCTAATCCAGAGATGGTGTTTGTCCTCGGAGAGCTCACAGGTGGGCGGGACACATAACTAGACAGGTGGTGATAGAACAGTGTGTGAAGTGCTCCAGGACCAGGCAGTCTGGGTGCCGATTCCAGTTCCTCCACTTCAGATCGGGGGCAAGTTACCTGACCTCTCAGTGCCTCGCCCCTGTGGGCACGTGGGGATCATCACTACACATACTTCTTAAAGCTCTTCTGAAGGTTAAAGAAGCTAATATACATGAAGCCTTTAGAACAGAGCCTGGCACATAAGTGATGTGTCAGTGTTTGCTGTTTTCTCAACGAGGGGAAGTTGGTGGGGGGGCGGGGGTGTGCTGCGGAAGCCCTTAGGCAGCATCTGCTTGTAGGAGGGAGTGGGGGTCGTGGGAGGCTCCTTTGGGAAAATGACATTTAAGCTGAGATGTGACGTTGTCAAGACACCAGGCAAGCAGGAGTGTACAGGGAAAGAAAGTTGGGAACGTCATAGGAACTTTGGGATTGTCTAGATGGCAGGTATGTGGAGAGAAAGAAGGGCAGCAGATGAGAAATCAGGCAGCAGAGGTTAGTGGAGCCGGAGGGACTGAAGCCTCTTTAGGAAGGAGCCGCAGGAGATGCTTTCAGGCAGAGTGGGAAGCGCCCAGCTGAGCATCCCAGGAAGGTCTCCGCAGCTCCGGGCAGAGAACAGATATGGGAGGACGGCCTCCATCCTTGTCCTCCCCACTTGTGAAGTGAGGGGAAAGAGTGAGCTGGTTCAGAAGGGAGTTCCTGGGACAGCACAGCCACAGTGAAGCCAGATCCAGGAGGCGGGCAGGAGGGAGAATGGGCTGGTGTGGGAGGGTGGGAGGGGAGAGTCAGCGAGGACGCTCAGGTTGGGGGCCGGGGGGAGGCGGGGGCAGGTTCAGATGTCTTGAGTCTCAGGTGCCTGGGAGCCACCCAGGTGGAGGTGTGTGCTTATTCATCCATTTATTCATGCATTTGTTAATCAGGTCAGTGATTCATTCATCTAGTAACTATTGTTGACCTGCATGGGGCGGGAGCTGGGTCTGGGAGAGAGACTGGGACCCAATAAAAAGGCTTTGAAGATCAGGATGAGGAGGTGAGCTGGGCAAGAAGAAACCACTGCAGCAGCTCCAGCTTCAGACGGGGCAGGGGCCTGTCTGTTGGGAATCTGGCCCTGGGTACCTTGGAGCTCTTTATTCTCTTCTAGGATCCTTTTGAAGTTGCCAAGTGGATCACAGAGGTCCGGGAGATGATTTTTTTGTTGAAACATGGACAAAATTTTTAACTATTTTAATAGTTGTGTTTATGTAAATGTGTATTAGGAAAAAAAATGTATAACGGGCACACGAGTGCCGTGATTTCACAGATGTTATTGCTTAGGATGAAGCCAAAATAGGCATTTAAGTTAAAAGGCAAAAAAAGTTGGCTTAAAGAAAAATATTAAATAAATAATCGTGCAAGTGGTCTGTGATGATGGAATGCGGACGGCTCAAGTAAGGGCCATTCTTACCCTCTGCTCAGGCCAGAGAGGGATGGGGAGGGAGGAGGAGGCTCATGGGAACACTCACTCAGGCTTCAAGTCCTTTTGGGTGCCTGCTGGACTGGGGGAGAGAAGTAACTGTCATTCAGTCCCATGGAGGCTGCAGCAAGAAGGCTGCGGGTTAGACCAAAGGAAGCACTTCCAGGCAGGCCAGGTGAGTGATCCCAATGGGTCCCTACTGGGAGTTACTGGGAGGGCTGTCTTCATGCCACACAGTCTGCCTGCACCTGGGAGGGGGGAGGACTACCTGGTTTGAAAGCAGGGGTCCTGGGAGCACACAGAGGCCTGGATGGGGTGAGGCAAAGCCCCCTCCTCCCACTCCTGCAAACAGCTTTCCCTGCCCATCCCCTGCACTCAGCAGACCATCCCTCTGTCCACAGATAGAATGGCTGCCGGCCTTGGATGCTGACCTTGACCCCCATAGGCTGGCTTGACGCACAGCCCAGAGCAGCTCTTACACGGCCTGCTCTGCCCTGGACACCTGCTCCCAGCCTCCCTGCAGCCGCACGCCTGGGCTTGTGTGGACACACCCACCTCAACACTGGACAAGCTTGAGTTAGCCGTGTGGACGTGCACAGGTGCTAACCCACCCCTGTCTGCGTGGTCCTGCTGACGCTGAGCGCACACTCCTGCGTGCACGTGCTGGTGCTGGATACACACCAGCCTGGACCTGGGTCTGCACGTGCCCACCACCCTGAAAGGGGGCTCTGGCCCATGTTTGCTCAGGTGTGTGTGTGCTAAGTCACTTCTCTTGTGTCCGATCCTGCGACTCTGTGGAGTGGTGCCCCCCAGATTCCTCTGTCCATGGAATTCCCCAGGCAAGAATACTGATGTGGGTTGCCATGCCCTCCTCCAGGGCATCTTCCTGACCCAGGGATCGAACCCGCATCTCATTATGTCTCCTGCATTGGCAGGCAGGTTCTTTACCACTAGCGCCACCTGGGAAGCTACCCTGGGCTATGTTCAGTCTCTCAGTGTCCAACTCATCACCCCCTTTCTTCTCAGGTGCCCTCGGGGCCCTGGTCCTTCCCCCGCCTGGGGGCTAACTGGCAGGTCCAGGCCGCTGGAGGTCACTGGGCTGACTGCCCTTTGGGGCTGGTGGCTGTGATGAGCTGTCTTCCCTGCAGCCTCCACCAAACTCCACTCGTCCAGCCACACATTCCCTTGGGTAATGGCAGCTTCAACTTGATTCATGGCCTTTCATTTGCTGGGAGCTGGGCCTGAGGACACGGTGTGCTGGGAAGCTCAGCCCTGGGGGAAGCTGCTGCCACCAGGGTGCCAAACCCTTGTTTGGGAGGAGGTGGGGACAGAGGAAAGCACCCAGGGCTGAGGAGTTAGTTAAAATCCCGAGACTACTGCTGACCTGTGTGGGTCTTCATTCATTGAGAATTATTTGCCGAGGGGCTTCCATGTGGCAGGCGCTGAATGTGTGCTGGAGCTTCCACGGCGAATCAGAAAGGCATCAACCAGCAGAAGTTATCAGTTCAGATTATGAGAAGTGCTGTGTAGGCGAACCACAGAAAGTCCGGATTTAAACTGCAGAGGTGAAGGTGGGCCTCTCGGAGAAACGGGCCGTGACAGCAGGGACTGAGGGATGAGGAAGGAGGCGGTAAGATGGTGTGGGCAGAAGTCAGAGCACGTGCAAAGGCCCTGGGGCTGACAGGAACGCCGTGTGGCTGTGTGCAGTGCTGGGGCAGGACACTGTGCCTGGAGCCCCAGGTGAGGGCATGAGTTTTGCTGCTGAGTGAGCGTGTGGGGTCAGCTGGTGGGGGCCTTGTGGGTGACGGGAAGTTTGACCTTCACCCGAAGGCTGTGGAGAACCGCTGACAGGAGGGTTTTAAGAGGTGGACACATCGGCTCTTCATTTTGAGAAGTGCATCCGGGTCTGGGAGATGGGGTGAAGGGCTGAGGCAAGGTGACCAGAGACGGGCTGCTGTGGGTCCTGATGGGAGGTGGGGAGGGAGTGAGGGGATGGGGAGCACCTGGACTGGACCGGCCTTTATCTGAGCCTCCCTCCTGGGCTTCGATGCTATGCAGGCAGGGATGCTGTAGGCCATGCGGGGCCTTGATGAAAACCAG